CTCTTTCTGTCAAATTACAAATTACAATTTGATGGCAACTTTGGGGTGGGGGGCTTTATGGATAGTATCTAAACTTCTAGGGTCCATATCAGCCATACAGCCTCATGTTCTTCATTCCTTACTTAGGACTTTCAAGGAAGATGTCAGTCATAAAGTTTTATTGATGCAGTTTTTGTTCAAAAGTTATTTACCCTGTGCTTTTAAAATGCTAAATGAGCTGTTAGACAAAGGATTTGGAACAAGGACCATCAAAGAAATAGAGGCCAGATTCCTAATCATTTATATGCTGAGTTTTTAACAGCTGAATCCCCACATACTCTCTCTTCTTATTAATGCAGAAAGTTCAGGTGGTCCTATTATTTACAGGACTTTCATTCCTCCCTAGAACCATACATAACAAAAATGGAAATGATAAGATCTTGTGTTTATGGGAATTGGGAAGGTAGTGAATCACTGGAAAAAGGTAGCCAGTCAGAGATTCTACATTTTATACATCTTACATTTTATAAGACCAAAAACTAAGCATTTTCTGTAATGTAACTAAGGTTTGTGCTACCATCTATTCCAAAGATAATATATGGTCAAAGACAAATTAATGCTTAAGAAAGGGTGATATACCAACAGGTTTTTAACTATCATTTTATTTTTAAATGTGTTTTGAAATGCATGTAACTGCAAAATTATGTTCATAGATGTGTATTCCAGCATTCTTCACTCATCCCTCCCGGGAACACACACACCACCACCATAATGAGGCAGCACAGAAGACTTTAGGAGGAATTAAAAAGACTACTAATCTCTTAGGGTTAGCATTTTATAGTTCAGTCAGAAAATCATATTGTATACTTCTTAGGACATGAAAACAAATAAGGAATGGCATTGCTTTCATAGTCAGAAGGATATAGCAAGGACAGTATGTGGGTACAATGCAATAATGACCAAATAATATAAATTTAAATTTCACAGATAACCTTTTAATATGACAATTATCCAAGTTTATGCTTCAACCACTAATGGAGAAGAAGAGGAAGTTGGTGAATTTTATTGTAAAGTTCAATTTGAAGTTGACAGAACGAGCAAGCAAGATGTGCTGCTTGTGGTTGGAGATTTGAATGCTATAGTTGGAAATATTAAGGAGGAAAACATACTTGGACTATATGGCCTAGGAAATAGAAATCAATCAGAACAACTTACAAATTTCTGCCAATCCAATTATTTTTCATTGCTAATAGTAATAATAATTAGCAATATAATTATAATAATAATTCCAACAACCAAAACAATGCCTATATACATGGACATCACCAGATGGAGTACATAGAAATCAAATTCACTATATTATTGGGCTATAAAGGTAGAAGAGCTCAGTTATAACAACAGAGATGTGGCCAGGGTCTGACTGTGAAACAGACTGTGAACTGTTCATATGCAAACTCTTCCAAATCAACTGTTCCAAATCAAGGTAAGCAGTAGAAGAAAGCCAACCAGCTTCCACAATATGATCTTGAACATATACCTACTGTTTTCAAAGAGAACATCAGGAATGGCTTTGAAATCCTAAGCCTCCTTGATAAGGAAGCAGAGGAACTGTGGAATGAAATCAAGAAGTTGCTGAGGATGCATGTGAAAAGAGACTACAAAGACCAAGAATCAGAACAAAGCAAACTAGATGTCCGAACAAACAGCGAAAATTGCCAAGAAGAGAAGAGAAGCCAGAACCAAAAAAGACAAAGCACTCAGGAAGAAACTAAAAAGGAATTTCAGAGAGCTATTAGAAAACACAAGAATCAGTATTAAAAAACTGTAAAGACATTGAAGATGAAAACAAACACAGACAAGAAAAGTCTTCCAAAGTCCCTCCAAACTCAGGAGGTTCCAACCTCAAATGGGTATGCTAAAGGATGCCAGTGAATACATAGTATGGTAGCTAATTCAAAGAAGATCAAGCAAAGATGGAAAGAATATACTAAAATTATGTACAATAGAGATGTAAACATCCAATATACCTTAGGCGATATGGGAATCCAAGAGCATCTCATTGTCTTCATGTGAAATCTATATGCAAGTCAAGAAGCCACAGACCAGGCAGAACATGACAAAACAGATTGGCTCCCAGTTGGCAAAAGAGTGAGACAAGATTATTTTCATTCATTCATTCATTCATTCATTCATTCATTCATTCATTCATTCATCCAATGTACTGTGAATATACATTGAGGGAACCTGGACTGGAAGAAGATGGTTTTAAAAATGGAGAAAGAAACATCTGTGCTATATTGATGAGACCTGTTAGCTGAAATGCTATAGTAAGGAAAGTCATGGAGCACAGTGAAAAAAATAAATATAAAGACCAAACTAATAACAACAGGTATAACAACCAGCCTTAGAAATGACAAGATAATGCAGTAGTAGATATTTTCTGCCTTTTAGGGTCAATCATCAACAGTAATGCCACAAGCAGTCAAGGAATATGCTGCAGACCAGTTCTTGGTATAGTAGCAATGAAGTCCTTGGAAAAGTTAATCAGATGCTGGGATATGTCTAACATCTACAAAGATCAGAATCAAGCAGGCAGTGATCTTCCTGTGACATTCTATGGAAGGAAAAGTTGAACTTTGAAGAAGCACAATAGAAACAATATTGATGCTTTTGAACTTGGGGTTGGAGAAGACTCCTGAGAATGTCATGGATAACCAAGAAAACAAACAAATAGATCATTGAACAAATCAATTTAGAGTTCTCATTCAAGGCACAAGTGACCAGGCCCAAATTATCATCTTTTAGACACATTATGTGAAGACCTAGCTCTTTTCAGAAGTCTATAATGTTGGAAAAGATGGAAGGAAAGAGAGAAAGAGGACAATCATCCTTGGATGAGCCAATGTAACCATGCCAGGGTAAGGCAGATTCAAACTGCACAACATTCTAGTGACTCACATCATTACAGCCCAGTGCATATTGGATCAGCCACTTCTTTAAGCAATTCCAAAAGACCACCAGGGTTGATGGGAATTACTTATATTGACCCAATATTATGTATTGATTAAAAATCTAGCTTCTGATTTTCTACCAGCTTAAAGTTCTACATGCTCCACAGATTAAATTGTCTAATTTTTATGTAAGATCTATTACCAGAACCAACTAGCTCAGAAACAGTCAGGACTGACTCATTAGAGATAAGTTTTGCAAATAATTTGAATTAGGTAATCTTAGATTCTGAAAATAAAGGCTTTATGGGGAGCCGTTTAATCAGCTATATGTCTGTCTTGGCAAAATGGACCATTTTATTGCAGAGAGTATCTGTATTTCAAGTAAACATAATAAAGTACACATCTATAACTATGTATGTATAGTTGATTTGTTACTCTGAAGATAATTAAAAGAGAAATAAATGGAGAGATTATTGTGACACTTAATCTCATAGGATTTCAACAATCACGCTACAGGCTATGCAGTGCACTCCCTCCAGAATTGTGTTCAACACAGTTCTTGCTTAAAAAAAAGAAAAGTAGCTAAGAAGATAATCTTGCAGGACAGAAAATCCCAGATAGAGGGTGCCAATAATAAGAAAACTCTTGCCTGTTATTATCAACATATTCCTAAAGGCAGTGGGATATTCAAGTAGGTTGTAATAGGTCATCTTAAATGGTGGTCCGGTTCATATGGAAGTGGATGGTCCACTATTTCTCACTTCATAATCATTGGGGAGACATGAAGGAACTGTCAGTTGGAAGTATACTTAACCTTGTGGCCCTGTGCCAGTTTCTCCTAACAAAAGTCTTCTCTGAATGTGGTCAAACATTTTCTTCAGCCTAGTTCTAAAAATAGAAGCTATTGGGTAAAAGGTCATTTGTATAAGAGGCAAAAGAGAGGGATATGCACCCTTCCATCCCCCAATTACCAATTATTCCCTACAATTATGTGCATAAATTTGTTTTCTTTATCACAGCAAATTAATTTCCCTTAATAATTTCTAGTGCCTGAGAAAAATACATATACCCTGTTCAAAGAAGAATATTTATTTAAAGGTTTTATATGGCCACCCAACAAGAGTACAATCTTGTCTTGATCATCCATCAACATCATAATCTTATTATGTAAAACAATAATTGTTTGCATTTTTGGTTAGTGTTGCAATGTTAATTTTTTTATTCTTGAAAGTCTCATGTATAGTAAAGAAAATTTAATTTTCTGTCAAATGAATGCATGCATTTGCATTTTCAGTAGGATACAGAATAACAATGGTTTCTGAATCATTATGTGGAAGTTTAATATAGATTCTGAATGTAAAACAGGCAATGTAACATGAACGTGGCCATGGTTGTTAATGGCTTGTTTTAGCTGGAAGCTATAAAATCATCCAAGGACTCTGTTGGTGTTGGAATAATAATTTACCTAGACAATTACCACATGGTGGATTTTTTGCAGCTCTAATTCTGTGTTATTAATAATGAATAAAATTGCAATTTTCTCAGGTTGCTGGGGGCAATGGGGAATTACTTCAATGAATATTTCAGTGCATTATTTTAATCATAGCTCCACAGAATTCAAGTGGCCAGTGTTTTATACTTTTAAGTTTACTCTTCTAAAGGACTATAGTAATTAAAGTGAAAAATATTTGCTCTTAGGTCCACTCTATGATTTACAGTTCTTTTTAAAAACACTGTAAAAGAAAGCAAGCTGTGTCATTAATACTTGTAATTTGATGCTGCATTTGTTAATGGGCTTCCTCTGATTAATGGCTCTTTTTTTCAGTAGACAGAATATTCTGAGACAGGGAGGCAGAATCTGTGAATATTTAAATGAAAGTAAAGAAGTTATTGAATAGTACTCATTTTAATAATTCATATATTTGTTATAGTTTTGTTTCTTTGTAATCACTGCAACAAACATGTGCTTTATAGAGTTTCCTTTCTAACAAATGGTACAGAAGGAATCTACATGTATGGTAGATGATGATTAGTTTCTTTTATGCTTTAATTCCTTAGCCAACTACATGATTTCTGGCGCTTAGATTACTGGGAAGATGATCTTCGTCGGCGGAGGCGGTTTGTTCGTAATGCTTTCGGCTCCACCCATTCTGATGCATTGCTCAAAGCGGCTGGGGAATATGGTCAGTATCACTGTAACACTCCTACAGTCTTAAATGCGGTTAGAATTGTTACTGGACTTCTTTTGAATGAAATCTGCCCATTTTTATTGTTTTCTCTTTTTTACATTTAGCACTTTATTTGTCTTGCAGATCTAAACACATTTCAATGTAGTTAACAACAGTTTTCAAGCTTGACCAGTTTATATCTTATCTAAATACAAACAGGGTTGGGGACATAGGAATAATGTACAGTATATGTGTAAAGGAGAAACTGTAAATAAAGTAACAATCCACTTAGTTTTAGAAAAACTATGGTTCATTGAGTTCAGAGAAGGAGTTTCTTTTTTGACCGAAGGTTAATATAAAAGAAGTTTCACGTTGCTCAATTTTATAATTCTCTTTTATTTAAGAGAATACTGAGACAAGCCCATTCTTGGAGGCTGAAAAATGAGAATATGATAAACCTTTCTGAAGAGTACTGTGCTCTTAAAGTATTTCTTATTGTATTGTATGATTATGGAGAGAGACTTATTGCACTGCTTAAAGCTGGCAGTGTGTATGGCGTGTGTGTGTGAACACATTCCTTCTCAGGGTGGGGCAATAAATTTGCAAGAAGCTAAGAACTGCATCTCTTAGAGGTGTAATTAGTCAAATTTAAATGGGAGAATTTACAATCTCATTGAATTTATTGGGAATGTAAATCAGTCAAAAAAATTATCTGACAGTAGTAACCTCTGTAGTTTGGTTGAATTATGTAAATTCAGTAAGTTTGGGTGCACTCTCTCTGTCTCTGATTGGACAGTTAGTTGATTTCCTTTGACAAGATATGATTTAACTTTAAAAAATAACTAAAAAGGGGAAACTATGGAGAAAAGAGAAAAGACTTGCAATAGAATAGAATTATAAAGAAAGAACCTAGGAAATATTTGGTTCCTATATGCATAGTAATAGAAATCCTAGTTTGTGCCCCACAGGTCAGTCCATTTTAATTCTCATCTCTTCAGCTTCCTAACAATTTTTTTTTTTTAATGAAAACTGATCCTACTGAGAAGTAAGACAGACTGAATTTCATGGAACTCATATTTGAAGGGCATATAGGATTGCACTATTATAATTCTTGGAAGCTGCTACATTCAAAGCCTTTCTCCATACTCTGTAGTATAGTTCATGCTGTTTTCAGACCCCTTTGTATGTTTTTCTTTCTGGAAGTATAATTGAACAGTATAATGCTGCTTCAACCTAGTTTAGACTAGTAAAACAAATATTTTAAAGGTTTTGTATGGTATATTCTTAGATTTTATGTTACTGCTTCTCTAGAACATTGAAAAGTGCCTTGTATTAGGTCAGATTGGTCTGTGTACTTCAATAATGCATCATTAACTAGCAGCATCTCTCCATGCTTTCAAACAGGAATTTTTGTTAGTCTTGATGATAGTAGAATATGAACCTTATATCTTTTGACCTGCGAAACTGTACTTCTCACTAATCTTGATATGTCTGCAACCAAGAAATCAAAAAGCAAAATTGGATTACAGGTCATCTTAAGACACAACCACTATTTTATTTCATGTCTTTGTTATTTGTCTAATTTATTTAAAGAACAAGAGGAAATAGATGGCACAGGGAAAAAAATAGGACATTTTAAAAATAGGGGCATAGTAAAATATAAAGAGAAAAATAATGCCTGATTAGTTTTAAGTATTGATATAGACAAGATAGGTGTATCCTGCTGCTCTTAGCCCCTCTTTCCTTGGCCCTTGCAGCTCTACTCAACTACCCTATTGTACAGCTAATTAAGTAGTGATGTGGTAGTTGGAGGATCTTCTGGCACTTTTATTAGCAGAGCTGTGAACAATGGTTTTAATAGGGATTGCTACATGGGAGAGATTTTAACTTCCCTCCTCCAGTGAACTGAACCCTGTGTTTGCTGAGATGTGTGTGTGTGTGTGTGTGTGTGCATGCACGCATATGTGTATACGCCTGCTTGTATGCATAGCCAGCTCTGATACATCATGCCATCACAATTAAAAAGGCTTCCCATAATACAGACTACTATAAGACACCGTGTCTATCTTACTACATTCAGTCTTGCTTTATTTGTAGTCTGAAACTAACAGAGGGCAAGAGCAACAAGTCACGCTTATGTAGATGCACAGTCGAGTATATTCACTGAGTGCCAAAGACCATAAATGAGAGAGATGCGCTATTGGGTTTAAAAGGATTTTTTAAAAAGACCATTATCTAGCTTAATCATGAGAACTTCATATAGTTGGTCATTGACATTTCTCCTTATACATGTCACATTTATTTCCCATGATATCATGTATGAGGAGAAATGTAGATTGTGTTATCACTGTTTATGTTACAAATCATGGTGGAAAGATGTTATCTTTTGCAATTTTAAAGTGCTTTTTTCTAAAGCTTTCAGTATGAAAATTAAGAACAGACTTCTAGAAGAATTTAAAACAGCTTTCACTGAGATTAAGTCCAGAGAATTTTTACCTGATTTGGGGGTGGGGGGTGTAGTTTGGAAGCTTGTACTTATGGATTTTAATATTAAAACTTTTACTTGACCCTACTGTATAAGAAAACATCCTTAACACTGATGTTATTTTTATACTTCCCGGTGATACTAATTAGTTGAATAATTTATGAGGTTGTCATGTAAAAAGGATTTGGTGCAGTTTGATGTATTTTCAACCTCTGGTGCTGGAATGTGATTAATAAAGAGCTGGAGGCACAGCATTTTTTTTTTTTCCATGGGGGCTTAACTTTCCATTAGGGATTTTTCATCAGTTTTATTTTGATCATTTTATATCTCTCTTCTTTAATACCAGAATCACACATAAGAACTACTTTAGAGAAAGCCAATGATTTTTGTTATATAAAGAAGTCGCAAGTTACATAAGGCAATTCACAAATATCTTCATAGTGGAAATGACAAAAGAAAAAATGGATTACATGGATGAGTGGGGTTTTTTTTAAATCTTATTTCCAAAATAGTACCATAAATACTACTTTGGGTTTCTATAGAGAATGTACTGACAGTTGTCATTGAGGGGGGTTGTGATTAAATATTGCAGCACAGAAATGTTTAGTCAGAGCCTAAGTCAGCAAGCTCATCTGTGTCTGTGATCAAAGGCATCAGCTTAAATAGGTCTGATCAGGCATTGCAGACGAGGGCAGGCAGCCTCAGCTGAGCAAAAATCACAGAGCAAAGATGACAAAATTAATCAGTCAATTCTTTGGCAATAAATAACAAGATATGCTGAGGTCTGCAGATGAGAGAATTTCTAGGTTCTGTGGAGATGCATCTACTTAATGCCTGATTTATCTAAGCTTGCATAGCCATCAAGACATGACCTTGATGAATAAAAGAGCACTCTGTAACTAATCTAGACTTAAATCAGTATTGATAGTGAATGCATGGTATATAGTAGCAATATGATACTTACTGATCAAGGAATACAAAAGTTTATGAAAATGACAGGTCTCTCTATGGATTTTGTACCTGCTCAAGGGAGGAATGGCAGGTATTACCTAAAGAGGTAAAAAATAAAAATATGGTGAAAATTATTCAGATAATTTGAGCGCCTGAGAACTATAGGTTTATTCATTTTCATTTGACTATTTGATGTTTCAGTTGTTTGTACAACATATTTTGTACAGAAAATATTTTAAAGCAGCATTCCTCATTAAATTCTCTTTTCATTGTACAGTATTTTGTATTACAGTTTCCATAGTAGTTTTGTTAATTATACAATTCTGTTATTGCCATAGGGAGTTTACATGGCCCAATCCATGTGGGCCACTGTTTATATAACTGACTGTGTGATTGCTTGACTCAGCCTGACATAAAACCGATCCAAATCACAAGGCTTGCAACTCAGAATCACAAGCTTCTTTAAAACTCAAACATTTGGAAAGAAAATTTGCAGTGTTGGCTTTCTGATACGTATACGTGCTACTAGAGCCACTTTATGCATTGGGATAGAGGAATTAGATGGAACACCTGAATTAGGGAATGGTTTAGAAACCTGAATACTCAATACCCCAGCCCTGATTCTGACTCTGCATGTTCATCCTCACATCTCTTTGTAAACTAATGGAATAAGTTTACATCTCCATTAACTAGTATGGAAATGAAAAAATGCTCCAAGGATGAAAGTAGAGGGCTGTTCCCCACTGATCCTTAGCACTTTTATCCATAGAGGATTTTGGATTTTGGCCTGGATTCTCCTTTTTACCATGCTTTGCCTCCAAAGGCTTCCAGGTTTCATCAAACAATTTCGTCTATTCTTCAGTCTAATAATGATGGTCTTAGAGGAAGCAATAAAAGAAAAGCATGTAAACCACTCTGTTTCACTTAAAAACATGGCTCCCCCCTTCCTAGTTCTTGTTTTTGTTTGCATGTTTGTTTGGGTTTCGGGTTTTGTATTGTTTTGATGCCACTTAGTACCAAAGTGATAAATAGAAAAGTGATAAATGGGAAAAAATGGGCGTGAGAGGGTATAAAAGTATTTTCCTTCCCGTATATTTAAATTAAACATTTTAAAGTTAACATTTTTCTTAAAATAAATGTTATCATTATTTTCCAAAGAATTTACTTTCTTATAGTACTTATTGTGATTGCATAATATGCAATCGCATTGTAATTGGTTATTACATATTCAGTAACATATTTTGGAAATAACTCTCTTAGTATAAACATTTTATAAGCTTTTTACCTTTAAAAATAAACTAGATTTCTGTTAAAATATTTTGAACTTGCATTTAGAAGAAGGAGGAAAATGCTGTGAAAATTAAATAGTGAAAATACTGCATGGCTTTGAAAGCCAGTACACTCTATTAGCAAAACTGTCAATATAAAAAGTGCATTCCATTTCCACCTCCTCCTCTAATAACCTTTTCTATGTTACTCACAGACAGTTCACATAATCAGAGTATATTGTCAGCTTACTGGAGTTGGGGAAGCATGAAATGAAAATCACGTTAATATTGATCCAATTCTTTCTTGCAAG